CACCAAATATAAATGGTGCAAGTTTCTAAGTAAATGCTTGCGATTATTTTGAAAATTTCTGAATAATAAAGTACATAGGACTAGTTATTTGTTTTCGGTTTGTATATCTTTTGACATACTATAACGATCACTAGTAAATTGTGATACTAGTGTATATATGTATTTTTTTAAATATAATTGAAGAATTTAACGAGTTTTTTATGTAGATCTTATGAAATTGCGTTTGGCTTCTGTCAAGAAAGAAAGAAAATCTACTCCTGCGAATGATGCTTTGCGAAGTTTGGGCCATATGTCATCTTACAAACGCTTTTTATCGCCAGTACGGGAAAAATATAGTACTGCTACTGATGTGGTTTGTCGCGCTATTCAGTTTTTTAAATGTGTCTATGGCAGTTTATTGTTGTTGCTAAAATATACTTGTTGAAGTTTAATTCTTCGTTGAAGATATCATGAGATCATAATTTATTACATTCATCATCTACGTAGTACTCTGTAAAATTTGTATAGGTCATTCCTTTTAATTAGGGAAATAATAACATATATAAGCTATGAACATTATTGTTAGTAGTCAAAGTTAAGAAGGGGGAGCATATTAATGTAACCAATAATTGCCAGACAACATTTCAGTTTGAATGATGCTTTGTAATTACTTTTCCTTTTAAAACATAATTTTCAAGAGCACCATAAATTGATTCCGTTTTTTGTCTACAAATATGACTTTCAAGATGTTATACTGTCTTATTTTCTTTTTTGCAGCTGAAACGAACATCTTCTGCAGCATCATTTAAAAGTGATTCCAGTATTGATTCTGAAAAAAGGTTAGTGTTCTCTTTTTTGTCAGACTTTATTTCGATATTTGGGAAAATGTTTTTTGAGAATATGAAATTGACTCTGAAAAAATTTGCAGATGGGATGCGACACAGATGGATGAAATGTCTACATCAGATTTAATTGAATTGTTAACTGCTACAAATGTTTTGGATGAGCAGGCATCTGTTGTTCATTATTTATGGATTAAGAAGCAAGTCTATATTCATTTGATGGAGAAATTTTAATATTTCTTTAGAGAGAAAATTTGCGTGATTTCCTTGAAAAACAGCACTAAATTAAAGCGTACGATGTTTTTAAATTTGGTCATATTATGAAGTTTCAATAAACTCAGTGTGCATGCGTTAGTTATAGCAACAAAAGTAAACAATTATCTGTTGTCGAAAGAGCAAAAAACATAAAACATCAGGCAGCATTAAATTACTATTAATTTGCAAATGAAATTATTTCAATTAATTGAGTGATTGGGTTTAGTTGTTTGTTTTAGATGAAATATAGTGGTATTAAGGGTATTGAGTAAATATTGAGTATAAGTGTGTCATTTATATTTGTTCCTTCGTAATGTTATTTCTAATTAGATTGTGGTACACCTTTATTTAAATTTGCTTAAAAATGCTTTCATTTTAGAGGCCCTGATTTTGATGTCAAGTTGAATAACATGGAAGGAGCAACTGTCCGAGCTCTCACAGAAGAAATCTATTCAAAGGTTTAGCTATACTATAGTTTCTTTATTACGTGGTGCATTGTTCTATGCAACGTTTCGTATAGAATTTTTGAAATGATTCTAGGCTTGTGAAAGTCGCGATTGGGCTCTAATTCGTCTTTCATCAGGACTTTTAAAGCGTCAGCTAGACGAGTTATCAAAATCTGTGACTCATCTTTTAGTACGTCAGAAACAAATTACTGTTGGAATGCCATCTAAGAATGAGGAACCAATTACGTCTCCAAAAACCAGAGAAGAACTGCATCAAATTTTTAGTCGTGCTTATGGTGGTGATCCGAATTGTTATGCTTTATCTCAGGTATTGATAGCTTAATTTGAGCAAGTTTTCCAAGAATTTTCAGAATTTCAACCCAGTAATAGATTTTGGTTTTCATGGACGTAAATGCTTTACTCAAAATCTTAACTACTAACTTTCTTCTCTCTAAAGCTCGTTTATGGTGATAGGAGGTGATTTAAGATCAGGATTTTTTAATTGAGTTCTGATGCATGTGCGTAGTGTAGTTTAGTTGATTCTTTCTTGAATGTTATAAATTCATGTCCATGGTTCCATTTCGTGCTGGCAGTTGCGCTGTTTCATCCACTTAAACTGTGAGCTTAAGTTTGCGTGGTTCCATAAAGCGCAAAAGAAACCACGGATTTCGCTAACCTCGTGCATTTATAAGCATTCATTGCCGGAGTTTGATAGTAGCCCGTGGCACACCTTTATAGAAATTAAGACTGGCAAGAGCAGTCTTAGTCTTATTATTGCTAGCTCAAATATCTTTTAAGCTCTTAACTGTAATGAATTATTCTATTTAACTAAATTTTTCGGCTATTATTTTCCACTTTAACAAGATTCGTAATCAGATTCATGGTAGATTGATTTACTGACTCAAGGTGTTAGAACTATTTTAATCTTTTTTCACTACATTAGAGAAAAGAATGATTTATCAATTCCTTTCTCAAAAGATTATTCTTGAAAAATTTTCTCTTCTATAAATCGTGACGTGCATATCATTACATTTTTTATATTTTAGGAAATAATTGTTAGTCTTGGTTCACTAGTACGAACAGAGCCTCGATTGTTTGTTGAAATGTTCAGAATTCGTATTGGACTGATTATACAAGTATGGTCATCTTTATTGAAATGAATGAAAAACTATATCTCGAGTTTTCCTAATTTTGTCTGTTTGGTAGAAGAAAGGCATGCTTCTTCAGATTAGTCTTCGTCATCATCATAGAAATTAAAGTTTGTGTTCTTGTATTTCTTTAGATATTTATCTTTGCTACAATTCTAAAGCATGCATTGTTTTCAGGTATTGGCAAGCGAACTAGCACGTTTGAGTAATATCAGTGGAGTACATGCATCACAGAAATTACTTCAGTTATCGCCTTTTGAAATAAAATCAATGCTTTTTTCGTTGTTAAGCGGTCGATTGTTGGAAGACTTTAGTGATGATGCTAGGACCGCTGCTAAAGAATATCGCATTGGAATGTGCTCAGTCAGGAAGCAAATTGAAGAAAGAAAAGTAATGTTTATTTTTGATCAATCACGCATTCATTGATATATTTTTTGTCTTGCATTAATATTTTTCGTATTAAAAAATGTTACGACATCTAATTCAGTGATATTATAGTCGGTCAGGAAGTCAATGCATCAGAGCAGTATGGGTGATGATGTAAATTTATTAGATCCAGCTAGTGATGAAGAAGCCGAGGCTGATGCTGAAGATTTTCAGTTTGGAATTTGGCTCAGACATCGTCGGATTGATGGAGCGCTAAATAGAGTTCCACCTGACTTCTACTCAGTAATTTTAAAAAAGTTTCTTGATTTAAGTACGAAATCTGCTTAAATGAGACGGCAAGAAACTAATATCTGTGCTAATATTTTTGTCAGCTGTATGAAACTTTGACATAGATTTATTTTTTTGTTAACGCGTTATTATATTTAGCTTTTGTGGGACACTGTACGACGTTTTCCACGTGGTCTTTCTATCAACGGTATTGTATTGCACTGGGGTTTCACTCAGGAAGTTCGTAGTTCTATATAAATTATTTTTTTAGTGATTTCTCGATTTCAATTTTAAAAAGTATTTTTGAAAGTTCATCTCGCAGCCACCAATTTGGTTCCTGGATTAAGTTAGACTTTATCTTTGAAGACAAGTAGTAGTAATTTTGAGTTTTGATAAACATTATAGTAACGTAGATTTTCATGAGTGCGATCGACTGCAAAAGAGATGAATTTTATATACGCGCTAAGATTTTACTGTTTTCAGATGACACGAAGAGAAACAAAATTTTCATTGCAAGTTGAGGAAGTGTTAAATCAGGTTGGCGGAATTTGTTCTTACATAAATTTTATTTTGTAAATTGTTAAATGTAATTTTCACATCATTCTGTTCCAAACCAGTAAAGGAAGTCCAAAAAAAAAGTACAAAGAATTCGTTAAATAATTTTTTTCATTAAATCTTATTGGCAGAAGAATATTTTCTGAATCTGAAATTTTGTTGCATACATCAAAAACGCTTCTGATATATCAATATGGTCGGAGATTTAAAAAAAGTCTGTTTTCGGAACTAGTCCGTTATTTAATATTAGTTCATGGAATGAGAATGTTGCCATTTTCAAATTCCATGTTTTAGATAGCCGAACCCGAATATCGGGAAATGATTGTTGAAACTCTTTCGCTTTTGAATCGAATGGACAGCTTACTAAAAACGAATAATCCTAACATATGCCATGATCAACCGTTTGAAGTAGACTCAGTTCTTCACGAAGCAAACAAACTATTCGTTGAGCATAATGTTAGTTACAGTTATGTTAGATAGTTATTAGACTCATCATATTGGTTCTTGGTTTTGTATCGTATATTATTATGAAAATGTAATATTCTAGATATCAGACCAATTTTTCAACTTGCTCGCAATTATCGGTGTTGAGTTTGTTTTTCAACAAAAATTCTGTTGAATCACGTATGTTGCCTTTTATAAATGGTACATCAATGTAGAATCCATTTTTATTTTATTTCTATTTTTTTCAAGAAATATATGGAAACAATTGTTATGGAATGTTGTGGATCAGGAAAACATTGTGATGGTGCGCAAGGATTGTGCCAACATTTTTATGATTCAGCTCCAGCTGGTGAATATGGTACAGCTCATTATCTCATAAAAGCTTTAATGGAAATACTTTCTCCACGAGATTGATTATGATAGCATTGTTTTTCTATCAATTTCTGACTGAATAATATTAATTGTGAAGTAGTAAAACTATTTCTGACTAAATATTTAGCTTTAATATGTTCTTTAGCTGTTGTTTGGTATTGCATTTATTAATGAAAGAAGCCATCATGTGATGTCATATTTTTGTTTGTCATTTCACATGTACGTCTGTTTGTTAACAGAAAATGCGAAGCTATGGATTAGGAATTTGTTGGATAGTATGTTATTATTTGTCCTTGAGTACATAATTTAACAGCAATTCAATTGCATTTTCTAGTATATTTTACAAATCTTGTTAACAAAGTTAGGTTATCGAATTTTGCATTGTAATACACATCATGTTAAAGTGCTTTAGTTGTCATCGCATTTACAGAATTTTTTCGCAACTGTTTATTTAGAGTAACTGCTCAGCTTAATTCTTAAGATCTCGAAGTAATCCAAACTAATACAAGTTTTCATAAGAATTTTTTAAGTGTCTCACTGTAGGAAGTACATTTTTTCTTTGTATGTTAAAAGATTATATAATCTGCAAATCAGAATCCATCAAAATCTTATATTACTTGAATGTCGTATTCTTATCTAATTTGGTGTTAGGTTTCCCTTCCTATCATTGTAAAATATTGTAGTATTACTATGTAGCTTAGTTTATGTCAGTTTTCTTGTGTGGCTTTATAAATTGTGCCTTGATTAAGTTGCTGTGCCTTGATTATGCGATCAGTGTCTTCATCTTGTCATTACTATACATATTTCATTAAGTTTGTGTATGGAAAATTTTAGATTTGTTATTGTGTAGCTGCATATATTTCTATGTAATGAAGTAGTGTCTATCTATATTTGTTCATAATTACAGGAGTCACTAATGAAGCTAGATATAGACTATGAACAAGAGCAACATTGTTTGTCAAAATACACCAAATTATTGTGACAGTCTCTTAAGTAATTGACACTATCCTGGATGCATTCTGAGTTTTTGAGAATCTATTGTGCCCATATAAAGTATGCTGGGATTGTCGCGAAATAAACTTTATAGTCAAGACGTTCATGCCTAATTTTTAAATGGTATGACAGCTTTCCAAATACTCGTTGTAAGAGACATTGATCAGTATTCTTTGGAATCATAAAGTCACGCATTATTCCCGACATGAATTCTATACAGCTGAAGATACAGCTTACATTGAATGGTAAGTTCTGTTGGTGATAGTAAGAGTTCAACATAGTAGGTAGTTTATGCTTGCTGAAATTAGGAATCCATTGAGTGGTGGGTCATAAGTTTCACAAAAATGTTGCGGGAAAATTAAAATGTTTTTGGTTTTGTTGACTGCTTCGTGTGAAATAGTATTACTACAGTGATTAATAAACGATTTGGGTGTATCTATTTAATTGGCACTTAGTATGGAACATTTTTACTCGTTATTATTGCTCTTGAATAGTTATAAAATGGTTTCTATGTTATGCAAATCCAAGAAATTAGTTTTGCCATAAGATTAGCACTGATTACTTTTTGTTCGATGGTTTTGTAAGAGATTTTTTATTAATCATATTCAACTTCTACTTCTATGCTCTTCTGTAATAGCACATTTGTACTAAACTAGTTAAATTACGTTATTTTCAGATATGAATGAATTTTCGTTTCCATTTGAGCCATATGATATCCAAATATCCTTAATGCGTATCATTACATCATGTATTGAAAACGGCAAAATTGGAATATTGGAATCACCAACAGGCACAGGAAAGTCAATGAGTATCATTTGTTCAACACTTACTTGGTTGGAAAAATATGAAGCTGAGCGGAAGGCAGATCTTGAACAAAAGTTAAAATCACTTCAAGAAGCTGGAAATGGGGAGTAACTTTAAGAAATTTATATTTTTGTAGAGTTCATTAGTGCGTTTTATACAGTATATCACTACATCAAGACTTTTCATCTACTTTTCTTTATTATTTATGCTGAGATTAAATGACATTAATGATTTTTTTTCCATATTTGTAGCTTTCTTTGATGTATTTTACGATGTATTCCGTCTGAATTGGTGATTCAGTGTAGATAATGATATCAGTTTAGATGAAGAAGACTGGTTAAAGGCTCATATTAAAAAATTCAATGCTATCGATAGTGCAAATGACTTATTTGCACAAGCTGAGAATGACAAAAAGATAGATGAACGTATTCAAAAAGCGTTAAAAAATATAGTAACTGAACGAAAACGGAGATCATTCCATGCTGTTGATGTAGAAGAACAACAAAATAATGAAGATGATGTAAGACAGTATGAATTTACTTTCCTTAATTCCAAATTCTGAAATTAAGGCAAAAAAATTTTATGCATGTTTGTTATTTTTAGTAAAATTTCCAAAAACGGAAAAAAACTAGTTAAAGTAATAGATGGATGGTATGTAGAAAATGAATCTATGTTTAACATTCAGTTAAAAGCCTTCCTTACGATCGCTTTCAAGGAATGGTGAAGAAAATCTTTGTAACTTGCACTTTTATTCGTTACAGTTGCTAGGGGAAAGTAAGTCAGTGGATGAAAATGTTGCTAAAAATACAAAAGAAGTGGCGCCAACTTGTATAAAAATTATTTATGCTACTCGAACGCATTCCCAATTGGAGCAGTTCGCGGAAGAAATAAAAAAAACTCGGTTCGGATTATTGCAGTTGACATATGTCATAATAAATGATAAAAAGATATGAGAACTATAATTTAATTTTTCAGGTGTAAACTTGTATGAAGGTGATCATAGAATAAATTTCTTTACATATCTATGGATTTATTGAAGTAAAATATTTTATACCACAAATTTATTAAAGCGAAACACTTCATTTAATTTTGTTAGAAATTGTTGAAAGTTTTTTGAAGATTCAAACCGAGAATAGTAACGTTAGGATCCAGACAGCATTTCTGTATCAATGAATCAGTTCGTGCTTTAAAACAATTAGGTCTAATGGTAGAACGATGCAACGAATTACGTGATAACAAATCCTCAGTAAAGCGATACAAAGATGGTGAAAGCAATGTATGTTCCTCGAATTGTTTAAGTATAAAAGGGCTCGAGGCATTTTAGCATTTTAGCAAAATTAAGTATTTGATTTTATTCCCCAAATGGTTCAGTTATTAATCTAGTTCTATCTCTTTGTAGAATGCGATTAATTAGATGATTTGCTCATAAGTTGATTAGCAATGGATGATTGTTTTTTTTTCAGATTCTAGGGCTATTTTTGATTGTGTTAAACTATAAATCAATATATATACATTTGTAAAATTTTATAATTTCTTTGATACCAATCCATTAAGTGAAATATTTGACTGATTCATTTATATTCAGATAAGTGGTTAAAACAAAGTTAAAATTTCTTGAAAGATAAACTTTTCAGCTTGTGATTAAAGACTCAAAGGGAAGTTGTCCATTTGCAAGAAATGATGCAATCGAAGATCTTTGTGATCAGATTCTTGCTTCAAAGTTGTCAACTGTATCACAGTTAGTTGACTGCGGTCAGAAGATATCAGGTTGTCCTTATTTTGCGTCGCGAAAAGCTGTGGCTTATTCGCAAATGATACTTCTTCCATACCAAGTTAGTGTATCAATCGAAAATTGATAGTTAATGTATCTCCTTTAATATTTCTCTTGACTTTAGGGAGTTATTTATCAAAGCTTATGTAAGTTACCTCAGGCTGCTGAATCTAGTGTTCAAGCTTTTATTTTTCAAAATGTCAAAATTATAGTGGGCAGGTTTTGATACTTACGTAAGCTTTCATAACTATTTTTAAAGACAGTATTTTAAAAACCTATAAGTATAATGACCTGGACTGGTATTTTGCAAACATATCTGTGAGATATGAGGTTTTAATATTTGCAGATTTTGTTTCAAGAAGAAACACGCAAAGCATGGGGAGTTGATTTTAAGGACAACGTAATAGTCATTGATGAAGCTCATAATTTATTGGAGACAATAACTAGCTCACATTTCGTTACATTTCACGTGAAAGAAATGAACATTGTGCTTTCAACATTGAAGTGAGTAACAGTGCATTATCATGCTGCAAAATACGTACTTGATATCACTGGCTGTTAAAATACTATACTTTTACTGCTTTCTTGTACGTCTCAGATATTTTTCTATAATATTTTAATACTTTTCTATTAACACTGTTCTTTTATCAAATTTTTTGATTTGGCAAGATGTAAAATATTGTTTAATTAATTTAACATATTTTTCAGCTCCTATTTAAAGCTATACCAAAAAATGCTGACAGAAATGCACAAAAAGTGTCTACGTGTTCTTTTAACACTCGTAAATCAGTTGCTGATGTATACTAGTAAGGTGTCAACTGATAAAAAGTCTTACCAAATAGAAACAATGATGACATTTGCGGTCAAAGTAAGGATATAATTTTTTTTAATGAACTACCTGCACATGTTAAATTTTTTTTCATATAAGTACAGTAATGATAGTCATGATAGCAAATACGAGCAGTTGTTATGGATGATGATCAGTAGTCATCAATTATAAATTAACAGCGACTACACTTTTTTGAATTGAGTAATAGTGCTTTTTTTGTTTTTTTAGCAGCAAGGATTTTCTAAAACACTAAGCTTGATTATTAAATATACTTCAACTTTTGTGATATTTTTTTCTTTTCAATTGATACCTATTTAGACCTACATTGATTCAGATTTGTCTTGCTGAATATGATTTGGATCAGTTATTGAAATATTTTGAAGAAACTCATCTGATCATCAAACTGAGCAAATTTTCGAAACGTATGGGCATGGTAAAAAAGCAGGAAACTGATGTCGATCATAAGTTTTCAGTAGAACGTTTTCTTCAGTCACAGAACTCATTAGATCAGCATCAAGATACTTGCGTCCTTAGTTAGTTGTGATCTTTCCAGTTTTATAACTCATTGTGTAGCGGAAATACTTGACAAAATTCACTTAGTTTGTTACAATATAGGAAGCATTTCAAAAAACATGGAAAATTTCAACGAATGCAACGGAGTTCATTTTATCTTAGTTTAGGGAAGCGTAATTAAAAACGTGTGAAATAAATTATTATGTTAAAAACGAAGATAAAATTTCAGAAGATTTAGAAAGTCAGTGTTCATCACCATCAACTGAGTGTTCATCACTATCAACTGAGGAACCCTCAACAGCTTCTGCATTTTGTGCGCTTCAACTATTTCTGCGAGAATTGAGGATGAGTTACCGTTATGGGCGAATAATCGTGGAATGTCCTTCTGACATAGATCAGGCTAAGTAAAAAATTCAAATTGATTTCAGTTCTTTCATGAAGTTTTATCTTATAGTGCTCTCGAGTAAGCATCACTGCATAAATTCATCGTGATTTGATCAACACGTCAAAGTAGTTTACTGCTTCTATTTATTAATGGTAATTTGAATAAAAATATTGCCATGAAGATAGAGATCAAGTACGTATTATACATTTAATTGTAAGTTGCAATACAGCTTTTGACGATAAATCATTAATTTTATCTCACTGATCAACAACAACTTATATTGCAATAATAACTTCAAATCGTATTTAATTTAGATTTATCTATAATAATGTTTCGTTCAAAATTTGAAATTTCAATTTTATAATTATGTTTATTCAGAATAAGTTATTATCTTATGAATCCTGCATCTCAGTTGTGTGATTTAATTGAGCAATCCAAATCGTTGATTTTGATAGGTGGTACTATGGAACCATCGGATACTTTGATAGACATTCTCGCTCGAAGCTGCAAAGTTGGTTATGAAAAAAACTTATTAGTAAAATTTTTTCTCTCTGAAAGTAGTTTATTGGTTTGTATCGCTAGAATGAGTACAAATCACGATTTTTATTCTCAGATTGATCCAGAAAAAGATCTCATACGTCGATCGTTTGGACATGTAATAGAAAAAAAACAGCTACTAGCTGTAACAATAAGTTAATATTTTGTCCTTTATCTTTTCTGTTCGTTTCTCGTAAGTATGTCATCAATATTTCTGTGTCTTTCATATTTGAAAATGATTTTTATTGGCATTAAACTTTACTAAAAAATGCTATAGCTTTGAAAAGTAATGTTTTTTAAATAAATGTTTGAGAGATGCTTTTAAATTTATATAACTGTTAGCGAAACAAAAAATGTATAAGCTTAGTATTTTTTTATCTTATTCTGAAATTGCGTAAATACAAGATATATATGTTTTGCAGCAAACGTAGATAAGAAAAATTTGATTTTTACTTATGAGAAGAGGGAAAATCCAACAACTTTAAAACTATTAATGACAACGCTAACACAAATTGCTGAAGTAGTTCCTCATGGAATGGTCGTTTTTTTTCCCAGCTATTCCTTTTTAGACACGTTTACTCAGAAACTACCTATGAATCTTTTACAGGTATTAAATATTTTATTTTAAAGCTGTTTGAAAATCCTTTCGCTTGTCCCTCTTTTTTCTTTTGCGAATAATGTTTGAATTGCGTATAAGTTTTTTGAATTGTTATTTAATTTTTTTCAAATAAAGTACTTGCAGAAAGTCAAGCCTCTATTAATCGAAAAAAGGAACAGTCCAAAAACATTATTCACTAATTTTGCAAATCTGGCTCGTACTAAAAGGGGTGCCTTGTTGCTAGCTGTAATCGGTGGCAAATTAAGTGAAGGTCTTTTTTTATTATTAGTCTCTCCCAAATACTTTTTTTGTAGATATTTCATTATTTACATAACTTTCATAAAAGTTAATATTTTCAAAGCGCATGCATATAATATGTATTATATGGATGCTTGAATTTGAGATTTTAAGCAATAATTGGTTTCGACTAATCTTTATCTTGCATTTTAATATTCTTTCTCTTTTTTATATTGCCCCGTTTTCTTTATTTACTATGGCCATGATAAAGGATTTGACCATGTTTTCATTTCCACATTTTTTGAGCATTTTCAAAATTAGAAAGTGTGCTATGCTTGCTGGTTATCATTATTTGGCATCATATTATAGTGATTTTAGCTACGAAACTATTTATTTGAAGAGTGTATTTTTAGTTACTGTGTATATTCTTGAATCTGAAAACACTTAAGGTATCAATTTTTCGGATGAATTGGGACGTGCAGTTGCTGTTGTAGGATTGCCTTACCTGAACAGCTCTAGTATTGTTTTGAAAGAAAAATTGAAGGTATTTTTTATTTTATATATGGTAGTGACCTAATTATCAATTCTAGAACTTTGCTGATTAATTTTCAGATACAAAAAAGATATTCGATTAAATTTAAAAAATTTAATTTTGGATTCTTAAAAGTGCTTTTTTTAATCACAAAAATATTTTGTTAATTGTGACGATATTTATTGCGAATTGAGGTAAATTTCAAAAAACTAATTTAAAAAAGGTAGATAATGATAAATGTAGTTTATGCAAAACGAGTATGGTCCTAAGAGTGGAGCAAAGTATTATGAAGCAAAGTGTATGCACGCTATTAACCAATCCATTGGTCGCGTGATCCGTCATCGTAAAGATCATGCAGCTATTGTATTGCTTGATTTGCGATATGAAAAAGAACAAGTGATCAGAGTGAGTGAATTGTTGGACTTTCTCAGCAAATAGTTCTACAAATGCATATCTCTATCGTTTTCTTTATTTCAAAGTAAGATACTCGAAAAACCGAAGGGTGTAGCATTGATAGTTAATGTAGGGTTTCGTTATGCTTTCAGTAAGAGAAATACTTTGATAAAAATAATTTCTAATTTCGAATTCATGAAAATAACTGTGAGTTTCTTAAAAGTGTTTTGAGGTTTGAATTCGCAAAAATTTTTTGCTGATAAGGATATTTTAAACTGTGCAGGATTTCATTCATAATAATTTTTTCTCTCAACTTTGAATGTGCTACCTTATAAAAATTATAGTAATCACGAAGAAATAAAATAAGCAGTACTACTTTGTGTTTTTATTGTTTTACCGTGATTTTTATAGTTTTAATAATTTTTCATTAGGAACTTTGTGACGTAAGCAATTTTATTTTTCAGTGCCTACCATGTTGGATTCAATCACAGTTACATCATGCAATGGATTTAAAGAATGGGGTAGAACATTTGCGAAGATTTTTTAAGAGTATGAATGAATCGAAAAGTTGAAAAGTTTGTAATCAATTACTTCAGAATACTTTTGACAATTTGCTCGCTAATCATTTTTCATTATGTGTCTAAACTTGCAGTTTCATGTAAAGATGCCAAAAATTCTAGCCGATGATTTTTTTTTCTTTGAAAAATGTGCAGTTAACTAGATTTTATTGGTGATTTTGGTGATTGTAATGATATTATCGTTCTGTTTAAAGTGAATTGAGGCCACTGTACCATTTCTGATGATTTTTATTTGGTGTTTGTGTTCATTTGAAATAAATATGAATACAAAAGTAATTTTGATCCGCAGGATTTTTTGCTCGTTAATAACTTTAAATAGTACCTTTCACTTTTCTTGATACTTTCAATAAACAGAATTTTTGATGGGAAAGGTAAGTGAAGAAATATTTTGAGATAAAGTAGGTATAAGTATAGTTAACGTGAACTGAAGTATTATCAAGTATGCATAACAATGAATTTTTGATGGACAGAATTTATAATGTTTAACAGCTTGCTAAAATTTGCTGTGATGTTTAAGATGCAATCCTCTTCAGTTTTTATTCTTAAAATGGATACTTAGTGTCAAAGATGACCAGAGGATAGCCAAGCAGGTTATTTATAATCTAATCTATGAACCAGTTTGAACATTGCGGGTCATTCTATAGACGTTGGGAAGGAGTAATAATTATATCACATTTTGTAATAAATTCGATCTAAAAGTATAGTTGGAGCAATGCATCGAAATTCTCAAAATTTGCTTACTGATCAGATCATTCATTTCTAGACTTGGCATTTTGATGAAAAAATTATAGGTAAAGTGTTCGTGCACAAGATAACAAGTATATGCTAGATGATTTATCTAATTAGGAATATAGGATTAGCTACTCGAAATGTGTTATCGAGGATGAGAAAAAGTAATTCCATGATGGATTAAAATCATTATTTCAAGCAGTAGTTTTCGTGATAAAGTGCTACGAAGCTATATCACAAGTTATTATTTCACATATATACAAAACTAGAAATCTTGTTGGGAAAGGTAAATCAAAACGTATTTTAAGATTAAGTATATGTATGATTAACGTGAATTGATTTATTATTAAGTATACATAACAATGAACTTTTGATAGACAAAATATGTAATACGTAACAGATTACCAAAATTTATTACAAATTTTTGCAGACATAATATTGCTAATATCCAGTAAAATGAATTTTGCAGTTAAAGCAGGATAACAAGTAATTTACATTCTAGGATTCATAACTAACTTGCTGTGAATTAAACAGATTATTAAATGATTTTATTGACTAAAGAAGCATAAATGCATTTAATTAAAATTCTCAGCTTCAAAGTTTTTAAATAAGTTATTATGACTTGTTATATTTTAACGACTGCAATACAAGGCATCTGCTCTTCTACAATAATAAAATATTCTACAGAATGTAGCTCATAATAAACCAAATTTAAAGTAATTAAAATTGCACAAGTTATGGTCGCCATCGGATAATTATAATTATCATAATTAGTCTAAATTTCATTTTCAATTCTAGTTCAAAAATTTACAAAAATCAAGCAGTAAATAAGACTTCAAGTTTTTATGGTCGCTACAGAATCTACCAAATTATCATCGAATTACAATGACTTCATTAACTAAAAAGTATAAATGCATTTAATTTAAATTCTCAATGTCAAAGTTATTAAATACTAAATACGGATTATTACTTAACAATATCAGTTATTATCATTGCCATCATACTAATTTAGACATAACTCAAATATTTTTTGAAAAAAATAAGCAATTTTAGTGTTAATATTGTTTGCAAATAGCAAAAAAGGTGGGATTAGATGAGGATATGCAAATTAGTCATAAATATGATGTAACCATTAATGAATAAATTATCTTAGATTAAATCAAACAAATCTTATTGCTGTATTCAAAAAATGTAAATAACATTGCTAAAAGGTCAAAAGTTGAAGTAATAAGTGAATAATAGTAATGAGATGAAAATAGATTAATTGAAACTTTGGTCTACCAAAGTGAGAATAAATGATACAAAAAGTTGATTATAGTCGAAAAAGTGATATTGCCTTGTGTAATGTAAAACATTTATATATAATGGGTTGAGATGACCTTGCTAGCCAGGAAATTAGAAAAAAATTTAACGAACAGGCAAGACAGAAACTGCCAGGTAAGAGTTTATATAAAAATTTAAAAAAATTCTGCATTTGTCGTTTCATGCATAAAATATATACTTTTCGATTAAACTGCATCTATTTAATTAAATCCAATTTAATAATTTCGTTTTTTTTTTGAATTTCCGTTTAGATTTAAAGTAATTGATAATTCGGCTCTATTATCGTTTTGTATATTACTAAATTTGGAATAAAGTAATAGACAAAATTTTTATACAATTCAATTCAATGTACTGTAAGCTAGTAAGAATTTCTGGTAACTATTGTAATCCAATTAATGTAATAGTGTAAAAATTTTGTTCATTCACAAATTATTCAAAAACAGTTTATATAAATGATTCTAAGCCATTTCCTGCCCTATTTTGTCTCATCTACTTTACTTTTTTCAACAAAAAAGTCACTAAATTCCAAACAGATTAATTTTAGAAGTGATTTAATATTCTCAAATATTTATTCGAACTACTTTTTTTTTCTATAAATTTCAACTGAAATTGTATTATTTTACAACAATAAATTTTTTTATTTTAGTCATAATTAATTTATGAACTAATACAATCATTCTGTATGCTTAGTTAAGAGATTATAATTCTCATTAAGCTTTGTCCTCTGCTATAATTATTGGTAACTTCATGATTATTAATAAAAATTAATATTATGAATGAAGATAAATATTTTGTAATGCTTCTTCATTAAACAGTAATTACTAAAAATAATATGAAGTTATTAAATACTGATCATTTTTGATAATTTCAAACAATTATTTAAATAAACAGTTACAAATGCAAAAAGTTATTTGCAAAGCGTTGTTATCAAAAAGAGTACAAAAATGAATTAATACAATAATATTTGAAATTTTTTTATGATACTTAAATTTTGGTCAAAATTTTTTTTTAATTTTTGAAAATAAAGTCGAACACAATAATAAAATAATAATATATCTATGTATAAATGTATTTTCGCATTTGTAATTTATGCAAATGTGTAATATTTAGCATTTCAATAAGTTTGCAAACAGCTTGGCTTGTCTACACATTGTCATTTTCAAACTATTTCAATTTTCATGCATCATTAATTTAGCACATAACAAAGAATCACTTTCAGCTCACAACCTTTCATCTGTCATTACGAATTTATTCACAATAATCTTAAATTTTTAAATTTTACTATTTGGAATCAATGTGGTCATTTCAGGTACTAAGATTATCAAAAAATTACTTGATTCAGCTAGATTCACTTTCTGAGCTTTTCTTCTTAATATATCATACATTTTTGATAATAATCTATTTTTGAAAATATTTATCTGATTACTAAAAATTTTAAATGCTGATTTTGTTTTTAATTGAATTAATAAAATATTTTCGTAAAATAAAATAAAAAAATTTAAAACGCTGATTTTATTTTATTTTACGAAAATATTTTATTAATTCAATTTTGTTTGATTATTAAAAATTTAAGATGCTGATTTCACTTCACCATAATTACTGCAAAAGCTTTTTACTGATGTCATGTTTAAATATATCAAAATGATTACTAAAAATATTATAATTATATACTATATATTAATTTCATGTATTACTACCAGATTATCACGAAAATATATATATTGCTTGTATGCTATTTATTTATTTATTTATTTATTAACTTTTAAAATCATTTTTATTCAGTAAAATGATTGACTATTTGAAATTATTTTTGCAAAATTGCAACAACAATAACAACAACAACAAATCTCACAAAAAAGTTAGCAGCTAAGCGATTAAATAGTTGAAAGTATTTATGGAATAATATACTTTCAGATTTACTAAGCATTTCGGACTAGTTTTACTTGTTAGATCATTTGAATATGATGTCTTCTATAACATTCTCCAAAGCCTCTTCAAAAAGTTGATATTCACTTCTTTCTATTCTTTTTTATTCCACAACAATCACTTGTTACTATTGTTATTGGTATTGTTATTGTTATTAATATTATTACTATTAATACTATTATTTTCACTAATATTTTCAAGAAACTTCCTCTACAAATACAAAATTCTGTTCTTCATAATTATCACACCAAAACTTTTTTTTTTAATTTTAATTAAAATTCATTACTTGTAATGCATAAGTTTAATTACTTGTAATGCATAAGTTTTAAATTATTTTAAATTTCCTATAATTGCAGAAATTTGTTTTTTCAATCCAAATCAAATAATGTCCGAATAATTTTTGACTCATTTTTTGCCTCAAATTATCAAAAATAAACGATTCAAACAAATGCTTGTTAATTAATCTTGATTATTATTTGTATATTTTTTATTCTCACTTTTTTTCACAATTTGAAAAATGAAATTTTATATTTCAGTGGTATTGGCAGTTGGGGATAACAGGAAGACGATGATAAATTTTTGGGTGAGATAATTGTTAAATTTTTTGAATTATAAAAAAATCAAAAGTGCTAAAAAATCATAAAAATAATTTTTTCTGCTTTTTTTCAAAAAAATAAACAAATACTTATGTTTAATTGTTTTATTTCCATAATAAACTATGACTTCATCTTTTGATAGCATTCATTGCAGCTTTATTTGGATAGATTTGTTACTCACAATTGCATTTTTAGAGTAAGGAAAAAAATGAAGCGAGCAATAAATAAAAGTTAAATGTGATAAAATAAAAAAATGCATTAAAAAATTATTTTTTAATTCTATTAATTTTAGATATTAATCTTACTGATAATTACTTCACTATATTTTACTACTACTTCTGTACCACAACAAAACTCGCCTGGCAGGCCAATAGAATCTTATAATTATGCCATCAAAACTGGAATTGCTGAATCACAAATTATCAGGTCAGTTTAAGTACCAATAAAATATCAGTTTTACTGTTCGCCATCCATTTTGTTTTGCATATTTCTAAGAGAAATGTTTAATATATTCTTCATTTAACTAAAAAAAACGATTAACTGTTTTTTAAATTTTGCTCCAACATTTTAATAGTAAGCAAAAGTTTGAGTGAATGACTAGAAAATATTTCATTAATACTTTATATATTAGCTAATATTTTCTACAATACTAATGTAATCGAGAAAAGTTAGTTTTATTTAATTTTGCTAGAGTTACAGATAGATTTATAGTTATGATCAGTCATAAAGGCTATTAATCAAAAAATATGTATATTAATTTTGCCAAGTTTTGATCTAAAAACTAGAAAGTAATAAGAGCTTAGTAATGAAAAAATAAACAACTGAATTGAAAACTGACGGCATTAATGTTGCTAATATTAATAACAATAATATTAAATGTAATTTAATTAGTTAATAGTGCTAAAAGTAAAGGTTATAGCTTCCAATCAAGCAAATACAATCCAGCCTTGCAATTAAATGGACATCAAGGCTATCCGGGTTTGAAATTACGGGTTAACAGGAATGCTTTTCATTATGGAAGTTTTATGATCGCAGAACTGATAAATCGAGAAATAAGATCTACTCGAATCCCTCCGTTTGTGCAGTGCCTTCCAGAAGTCTGTCTGTAAATCACACCCAGACTTTTTAATACTATATTTAATTTTAATTATCAAAAGTCTTAGTAAATTTAGTTTTACAAAAAATGAAAAATAAATAGTAGATATAGAATGATAGGATTATTCTTGAAACAATAATTAAAACTAACGCATTTACATCGCATAATAAATTCCATTAATGCACAATAACTTTATATTTTATATCACATTTTAACATTTATAATTATTAGTTTAATATTTCATTTTCTCATGCGCATGGTTATCATTCAACTGATTAATTAACTATAAATGAATGATACAAAATGTACTATAAATTCAGTGCTAATCAAAAAATAAAAATATTTTTTGACAAAAATGTTAGTCAAGTCAAGTCATATCTTGTATCAAAGAATCTTGAAAAATTCATTTCAGGTCAAAGGTTGCGCCCATTTAACGAATATCATTTTAACATATTATCAGTGTCCACAACGAGTTATCTTCCTTCCAATGCCATATGATCGCTTTGTACTTAGTATTAAAAATTTCGCTCTTGGGTTATTAATCTTAAATTATTTATGAAGAATTGATAGTTAATGTAATCAAATGAAGTTTGAATAATTGAAATAGTCATTGCATATATAAATTTGTAAATCATTAAAAATGGCAATAGTCGAGTATTTCAGATTTAAATCATAAATTACTCTTGTATAAAAACTTAACAGACATTAAATTACAGCTTAACTGGGAATCTTGGAGGACAAATAACTGTTTTATTACCTTTGCCTCTCTGTGGATTGATTTGCTTGGATGCTAGACAGGTTATTTATTTCATTTGCATTTATTCATTAATTAATTAATTAGTTTATTAATTGTTTTTCAATTTTGATGATCAAAAATGGCTTTTAAATATTTTAGGTTACAAAAAATTTTGTTATTACAGATATCAGTAACAGTACAAACTGCTCTTACACGCAATTATCATAATGGTGCAGTTCGGTTGGATATGGATGATTGTGCTATCACTATTGGCTATTTAAACATTTATATTTTGGGTGGTGGACTTGTTGGTAGTATTGTGAATAACAATTTCCGAGTAATTACAATTTAATTAATTAATTAACATTACAAATTCACAAAATTGTTTATTATCCTTTATAATCACATAACAGTGATAAGTACAATACTTTTTGTCACTTTGCTTACATTTATTGTTAAGAAATTTAAAAACAATTTAGTTTTTTAGTATAATTTCACAAATATATTCAACAAACAACCATTAATAATAATAAGAAGAATAATAATGATAAATATTTATATAAATAATAACAACAGTAATTAATAACACAGCAAGAAATCACTGGTGATTATTTTTGTTTAAGCAATTGTTAAGCTTTCAAATAAATAAAAAGTGATTAATTTTATTTTAGACTTTATTCAGATCACTTTTTCAGGGCAAAATTATTGCGCAAGTACGAGAAATGTTAATTAAAAAAATTTGTTTCAAAATGAAATCAGTGCTAACTTCAAAAGTTAACTCCTTGCTGACTGCTTTACCGCAGAAAATTTCAATTATGCATATGATTTCTTTCACAGATTTGGTGCTACAAAAACATAAAAAGTTGCCTGAATATGTAAGTATTTATTTGTATTTATTATTTTTGAAAATTACTGCCCAAATATTTTATAAATTAAACCAAAATATCAAGTTTATAGTGAGATTTCTGAGCCAAAGCAAAAAAATTACTCAACTTTTTTGTTTTAAAGTTTTTCCTAAAATTTTTTAATTCTTACATTTGAAAACGAAATTTTTTATTGTAGTTATGATTTGCATTTTTTAAACTTACATCCAAGAATTATTATTAAATATAAACTAGCAAAACTTATGTTTGTATTAAAAAGTTATTACAAAATTATACAGAAATTCAAATTAAGCAAAGTTTATAATATCAAAATAATTAATTAATAGTTTTTACAATTAATACTATGAAATGCTATTAAATATTATTTTCTTCAATTATTATTTGATCATTTCAGTGTTACTCAAATGTTTGTCGACATTATCCTGCAAATAATATATCAGCTAGAAATCAGATCATTACCGCAAAATCAGTTCAACCCCAAATCAAATCACAACAGACTGCGGGAAAATCTCAAAAAACGCCAAGCACTAACGCAACGTCAAATATAAATGAGCAATTGATAAAAAATGATACTTTGACGAAGAAATTTGAATTACAAACAAATAATGTAGAGAAGTTGCAAGCAAAAAATACTGAAAAAATAAATAGTAAAAGTTATGGAAGAGTTGCCAGAGATGTAAGCTTAAAGATTTTCAAAAATGCAATTTGTGCAATTAATTTTAAAAGTTTGCAATAATTTTTGGGAAATATTTATACAGATTTGGTACTCATCAAGGCTAAACTATTGAATTTAAAAAAAATAATTTATTTTATATTTTTTAAAATTATTTTTAATGAAATATGCAAATGCTTACAGATCAAATTGGTAGATACCAAAAATAAACTACAACAATGTGCTGGTTGTGATTATGATGACACAAAAATTTTATTACATTATATCAATGTAATAATGAAACGTGCCCGTGTATGTTAATCCTAACTGTACTTGAAAAATGTGATATCGGAATTTTTAAAAAACTAATAAGCCTAAGAAATTATTAAAATGGTACATCATCTATAATTAATAAATTAATTACTGTAATTATAGAAACAATAATTTTAGAAGTATTAATATATCAATTTGATCATGCAGTTTAGTATTAACATTTTCAGACTCGTGCATCTGATTTACTTTTATCATTATATATACTTGGAGCTTATGCGACAAATTATGATTTCACGTTGAGTATGGCAGGAGAATTCAGCCCGAAAGCTCAAGGTGGCACGCCATTTGCACCACCAATATTACGCTTTCCTACCGTAAATAACGCTCATATGTTCGATCTTCTTATCAGCGACTACACAATCAATACGTTACTGTACCATTTCCATCGGTATATCATTATTTTCAACATTGTTATGCAAAGAATACTTTGAAAAATAGTTCCTTCAAAATTATTAAATGTGTAATACAATAATAAATTACGAAAACATTCTATAATTATTTTAAAATCATTTTTAGTAAAAATGATAATATCATTTTAATGTTGCTTAGCTGCTTTAAAAATATTGCACTAATTATTTTTAAATATGATTTAAAGTATTTATTTAGCTATCAGAAAGATGGCTAAAAATGACTGAGAACTGACTGTTTGATTTAATCTTAAATAACTTCTGTACTCTATTTTATATCTTTTTTGTATTTTTTGCGAGTATGCATATTGTGTGAATTTTGATCATATTCGATGATTACCTTAATTGTAAACTTATTTTTATGCTAAAAAAAGAACCAATAACTATTTAGAGCAGACGTTTTTACATTTCGAATTGGTCCTGAAGTTCCACATATTGGAGATTTATTAAATATAACTTGTAGAGGAGATGATTTTGATTTTGATCTGAGTGCTGAAGTGACAGATGCTAAGGTTTGTAATGCAGAATCTTTAAATTTCAGACTATTTTTCAAAAATATAAATAAAAGCTATTTGGGTATTACACAACAATTTTAAAGCTTTTAAAATTTTAATGTAAAAGTTTTAAAAAGATGTTTTTTATAGTTAAAAGTTGAAAGTATTATTGTAATGCAAATATGTAACAAATTTTTCAACAAGGTCTACAGTAGTTTGTTTTTTTAAGAATTTTTCAAATGATATCAGTCGACAAAACAACCGAAAAAAACGACAAGGTCCTACAGAATCTTTTCGTAACTTTGGTGCATGTTTTGGTGATATAGCTCCAGAAATAAGAGAAAAAAATCATGGAAAACAAGTTTACATAATGGTGAAAACAACTCGAGCACCTTCTATACAGTTTAAGGCTATCAATAAAGGTCAGATTTGCAAAGTTTATAATTTTTTTTCGAAAAATAGACAGAATATTATTCAAAAATTAGACTTTTGACTTTTCAAAATATGTAACAAATTTTTCAGTTTTATTATAATACATACAAATATAAATGATTGAACAATTGATCTTGACTATATTTAAGGGAGTGTAATTATTGACTTGATGGTAGATGGCGTGATTTACTTGAATGATAATAATGTCAAAGTTGGACATATTCGAGTTTATGCTGTGTTTGAAATTTCTGGCCAACTTATTGGCAATCGAATTATCAGTAAAGCTCAAATTATTCAGTTAAAATTAACAGATGTCGGTCATACATTTGGCTTACCAGCAGATACCTTTGCAAATTTAGCTGATTTAGCTCGAGGATCAATTACAAGGGTATTAATTATATTAATGAAATAACTCATAATTCTCAATTAATTACTTACCTTATATCATTTACAAAACTAATTAATAATATTTTTTTATTTGCTTGTTTTGAAAATTTAACAAACAAATTGCTTAATTTATTTTCAAAATACAAAAAAAATTTGCGTAAAATTACAAAAATAATTACTGAAAAAATTTTTATATTTAATATTTATGGCTGCATGAAATGGTAATTTGTTTTAGGTATTAAATGATAAACTTAGTCAAGGAATCACGATTGATACGCCAAAATTAGGTTTACCACTTGATTTGCATAACGTGCGCTTAAAAGTGGTGGAGCACGCTTTGCTCATGTCAACTGATATAAAAGTTCGAGCTCAAAGCTTGTTCTTATTATCATCGTATCGATCAATTTAATAATTAAGGTATCTATCAGGATTTTACCATTTTTTTTGATTTAGTCAAGTTTATATGAACTAACAATTAAACAAAATTAGGCCAAGATTTTGTTTGTTAAAAGTTGTAATAAGACTCAAGTAGCATTTTCGGAATATTTAAGAAAATGCTATTTAATATTCCTAAAATGTTTATTAAATATTTTTAAAATATTATCTTTATTAAACAAAAACTTTGCTTAAAACATAAAGTTATTAACTTTTATTACAATAAATTATGAATTGTCTCAATATAATTGGTAGAAATTTGAAGAAAGCAGATATAATGCTTTGACAGTAATGGTTTTTTCTGCGCATTTACTTACAAAAACATTTTTCAATGTTTCGCAGTTCACTTCTGCAACGTTTGTTAATAATAATTTAAGTGATATACTTCATTTATTAGAAACTTTACTAATTCCTTTTTGATTGAAAGAGGATTAAAGCTAAAAAATTGCCTTGCCAATAAACTTCTTGTGCTGACCTCTCAAATTATTGTTTGTAAATTTTGTTAGCAATTTTGTCTACCTCATTACAGTGTTATATTACAATAAACTTTAGACTTCTCAAATTAATATTATCGTATAGTGCTTGTTTTTGTTCCATTATTGCATCATTGAATAAAACATTCCATGTAGAGTTCATCACAGCAACTTTTTCTACAAAGTCATTAATTACAATAGACATCGATAGCATTACCAGCAAATTTAAATTTTAAACTTATAAAAAATTAATTAATCAGAATAAATAAGTTATTGCATTTACCATAATGAGCGAACTTTTTAGGTCAACAATTTTTTAAATAATATTTTACCATTAATGACTTAATCCACTTTACATTATTTTTACTTATCTTTTATTGTTTCAACAAAATAAATCAAATTTCAAGTTTGCACTGATATTTTTAAAAAGTATAGTTTCTTTTCATTTTTACTGATATTTATATAATTATTAATAATTACGCTGCGTAAAACAAATAAAAATATGCAATAACTTTTATCTTCAATTCACAGTTAGAAAACAAAAAAAAACATCGAACATTGAAGTTAAAAAATAACTTAATAACAAGTCAAAGGCTCAAACTGTGAATATATTCACCAAAATTTATAATAATCTCAATAGATACACGTCATTCATACCTTATACAATGATACACTTGAAGAAATATTTGAATCTGAACTGAAATTAATGAGGCATTGACCTCTTCTCATCTGAGCATATTCAATAATCAGAAAAAGACTAAATACTACTGAAGTCGACAACAAAATTTTTTGAAATTCTTGCCAGTAATGAAAATCGCTTCAGAAAGATTTCCAAGCAATTTGCTTCAAAACTTGCAAAAATTCTTGCTTAAATTTGCAAAATTTACAGCATAAAAATTTTAATATTTTCCAACATTTAGTTTTCTGCAGAAAAAATCAGATTACTTTTTTTAAAAACTCACAAATTTAGCCTTTTTGTCTGACAAAAAAATAGAAAGCAATGCACTAAAAAAACTACAAACTTATAACTAAGTTAAATATCAAAGCACTTTGACTGTAGAATTGATATACAGAAATTCTTTCACTTTAAATACATAAAAGTCATTAAACTTAACATTATTAATACTGAAACTTAATTTATGCGATATTTTGTGGCCTCTTTTAAATTTACATAAAAATTTAGGCCTTCCAAAATATATTCATTAAAAAGAAACTTAAACTAATTAAGAGCAAAATTAGGTACTCCTCCTTGACTTAATTATAGACCGTATGCAAGTAGATTCTTCGTGTTTCGATAAATAACTTTTCAGAGCAAAACGTTTCCCACAGCGCTGGCATACGTATGGTTTGATACCTGAAAATTTAAAGAAAATATGCAAAATAATAATAGCAGTGAAATGAAAGAATATTAACTGTAAAGGTCAGAGGACATTCTAAAATGTGCCAAAATTAGAAGTGAATAATTATGCCAGGTAATTGAACAACTCAAAATTACATTCCTTTTTAAAGAATGCAATATTGCAATGAATTATTTAGTAATACCATGAATTATTAAAAAATATGCACGTGTTTTTACAATAAAATATAAACATTCAAAAGAATGTAAATAAAACTAAAAAATTACTTATGTATAATTAACTTCTAATTAACATTTATGATCAAACAATTCAATTACTATTCAGTATTGTAGTACTTTTATGTATTTCTATGGACAGTATTTTTTGTCAGTACTTGTTGATGTAATTAAATAAAACTGCACGGTTTACATTGTATTTTTAAAGCATTAACGGATTAATTAAAAAATTCCAAATAATTGCGATGGCAACAAAAACTTCTAATCAAACTGTCAATCCTTCGAAAGGAATTAGATATTATTTCTATAGAGCGCATAGAAATAAGTTTTACTTATAAAAAAAAGCTTTTAAAACAATTTACCACTATGAGTTTGTACGTGTGCGCGTAAGTTACTCTTGTCAGCAAAAGCTTTCGTACAAATTGAGCATTGGAATGGTTTTTCACCAGCTGAAAATTAATGAACTATAAGTATTTATAAATTTAAATTAATTCAAAATTTTAACTAACTAAAAATACTATGAAAGGTAATTAATCAACTATTAAACTGAAAATCTTAGACAAAAACGAAATAAGATCATAATATGTGATCACTGTGATCAGTATGTGATCATATGTGATCACTTTTGATCGGAATTTACTTCGCACTCACATCTTTGATTGATATTTTTATTCAGATATTCTTTTTAAATTACATCAAAAGCATTATTCAGAAATAAAATTACAATAAAAATTCTTTCTTCATTTTTTTAAAGGTTTCAAATTTGATATTTTAACAAACAGTAAACTTTTTATTTTTTATTTTTCGGACTTACAAGCACATCTTTTAGTTCACTTTTTAAATTATGAAGTCAATTTAATAAATCAATTTTATTGCTGAAATATTTTTGTTATTTTACAAACTTTAATGACAATTATTTATTTAAATGATAAAATTATTTTTAGAAAAAAAACTCAAATACTTACTATGTGTTCGCATATGTCCTTGTAAAAGCCAATGCCTTGTAAAAACTTTGCCACAAATTGAGCATTTACAAGCATTGACCTGAGATGATTTTGTTTGATGATTCCCAGGTCGAACCATATTAGTAATACCTGACCCGCTAGCAATTTCTTGAGGATTACTGTCGATACTTCCTGAGCCATTCCTGCTACTACTATCACTATTATCAAATTTGTAATTGTGATTTGTATGACTGTTATCATCACTTGCACTGCTAACGCTTGTACTAGTCGTTGGTACAGATATTGTTGTATTATTTACAGCAGTTTGTACTTGTGCCTGTTGTCTATGCCACGCCAAATGTACCATCATCTCTGTGGGATTGAAATAAAAATTTCTGCATGTAGGACATTGCAGTGTTGGAGGTGCTGTCAGCGGTTTGAAAGCTGCAAGTTTTTTCAAGTCAAACTTAAGTATTAATTAATAAATATCTCAGTTAATTATTACTTTGCATCTTTTAGTAACACTTTTCCATTCATATTTCCATAGTAAATTTCGTTTTACTTTCTTTATTACTTATGTCATATGAGAGTTGCTAATTGTATTTCACTTTGTATCAAACTTTCGATCATTGCTAATTTTTGTATTAACTTTTCTACAATTGCTTAAATTTTTGTTAGAACTGACATACAAAGCATTTCTGAAGTAAGTTCTGCAATAATATTAGAATTCATTCGTAGTAATTTGGAAGATGACTGAAAAATTTCTTTATATGAACCACTATACTTAAATACTCAAATATCTGACATAGTAAATACGTACAAGAAGATTGTGATGATTTGAGGATGTTTATTTTACTAGGAACAAGTAGTGGATTAGAGAAGTAATCTAGGCAGATTAACACAAAATCTTTGTCTTACTAGCCAACACTTTATACTTCACCTGTTCTTTCATTCTTAACAAGAATTCTTTTTAATTTTTGTATTTGAACAATATTACTTACATATTTTATCATTCAGAAAAATTTATTGTAATAATTATAGAATAGAATAATAAAATTTACACACTTACTATTATTTAATGCAGCCAAGTGTGGTGAATAATGTACTGGTCCATAAAAGGCACTACTAAAATAATGCGATTGAAAAGGTGGCGGAAAAAAGAATGAAGGCGGAATAAAAAATTTAAATCTATCCAAAGAGAACGGAGGAAGTGGAGAAAACGTGAAAGGCGACGTCATCGATACGTGATTCAAAAATAGAACAAGCGATTACGAATAAAATTTCAACCTGAAATTAAAGCACATAGAAAAAGTACTAATCATTTCATTCATTCACTGTTATTCAAATATTACCGCTATTTTTTGTAATAAAAATAAAGATTATAAGCAAGCAATTTCAGAAGTAATTGATGTAAAAATAATACTTAATTTACAATACGCTATCTTTTGAACACTTATGCGAAATGTATTTTATATTATTAATCTGAAAAAGGCAACAAAAATTAATGCAATATTACAATTTCTTTCAATTACGCATCTATTCTGCATTATTATTTTATAAATAAATTCAGTTCAATAAAAGCTTTTAAATTTCAAAAATTGAATAATTCAAGTTCAGCAAAAAAGTTGTGTCCAGTATGCAAATTCATATTATAGTAATACATTTTTGGTAAACATCCTCTTTTACAATAACTATCACATTTGCGATCATTGTGTAGCCCTATGCAAATTATCATATTTAAAAGATTCCAAAAAAAGTAAATCACTAATTCCATATCTTCAACTTTTTAATTATAGAATATATAAAGTAATTAAGAACAAAATAAGGTTGTTTTTAAAGGAGAAAAAGTTTAAACAGTTATATGCATTTACAATAATTCCTTAAAAATGCCTATATGGTTGGTCACTTTTGTATTATCTCACAATTCAAAATTTATTTATAGCACCATAACTTGATATCATACTTTGTTATTTATGAAAAATGTGAAAATAGTAAGAAAAAATTAACATATCATACATGCATCTGCGCACTTAGATTTACACGCACGCATATTTATTTGTGTACAAATAATGCGCACATACACGCACGCAAACACACATTTATGGGCAAAGCAAGTACAGTATTCGTAGAAAGTGCTATATAGTGGTAGTGATTGGTTACAGTAATAACGGCAGTGGTGGATAGTGGTGAAAGCAGGCGGATTTTATGTGAGTAAACATATTATAATATCCCAACGATGAAAGCTGTTATTGAGAATAACTCGGGAATTCTGGGTCATAAAGAATATTACTTTCGAACTATTACATCACATCTGGTAAATATGTTAAAATGATTCAAAAAACTGATGTAATGTCATAATGTTCCAATCAGAATTTAGCACAAAATTTCAATAAACAATGAAAAATTTTTATTTCTTACAGTTAACAATTTATAAAATAAATTTGCAGTATTTTATAAAGTCAGTGAAAGTTTTACTGCTTTATTGCTTCATTAATAACATTTATTATTTTATTATATAAGTTTTGCACGACGTGTTGTCTACTTTAATTTATACATAATAAAATCAAAAAAAGCTGCAAACTGACAAATTATTTTTCTGCTGGAATTAGCATTCTAGCTAAAATTTAATAAGAAGTTAAGATAAAGTTTAAATATAATCAGATAAAGAATTAATCAGTAATTTTGAATACAAATTACTGATGAAGCCGATATTAGTCAAATTAAAGCAGTTTTAAAAACTGATATAAATGATAGTGCCTTTTAAATGGATATTAGCAGTGAAAGCTGATCTAGCGTTCAATTATTTTCACAAAAAATTAATCAACTCCAATGTTTTGAGCTGATTTAATGGAGTTAAGTTTTTGAGGTCATAATGTGCGAGACAAGAAAAATTTTCAAAATAATTAAAGTGACACTTTGAAATCTGTCTTTTTAATATAATAACTTTATTTTCATTTTAATCAAACTTTACTAACTTTAAAATCAAACCAAATTTGAAGATCACCAGGTTAAAAGTCAAATAAATTGTTCATGAACAACGCATTTCTACGGAAGGACTTTGATTAGTGATCTGTTCTGATCTAACCTTATGCAGTTTATAATTTAAGACACAGAATGTATTTGATTTTGAGAATATCACTTTGAATTAATATTTTAATTTAAAAAAAAAGACTTATCTTGCCGTTTAGTTTTAATAAATCCTTATGAATTTTCCACATATTTCATCTCAGTCTTACCAAAATTTTCAATTCAAAAAAAGAGCACAATTCTTGCAAACACTTCTAAAATCTTTGTAACTCATTTAGACATTAAGCACAATGTTTTGCTACTACTTCAACAACTAATAAACTGACAATATCTGATCACATTGCCAACCATATGGATTTTACGGATTTGCTCAGAATATTACTGACTATGCGTACTTCCTCCTCACCTTATACTTCACTATTGCTGTATTTTTCTAGCCAACAAAAATTGATATGATAAAAACTTATTTAATTTATCGTGCTGTAATTCTGATACTAATCAGTGTTAGTCTATTAGTCAAATAATAGTTACCGAACAAATAATATTTGTGACTTTCAGCACTAAATCAAAATTCACACAAACTACTCATACAAATATAAATAAATAAATATATACATGTATTCTATTTATTAGCTTCTGATTCAGTGTTATGAGGAAAAAGAATATCTTACAAAATAAATTGATATTACACGAGACATTTTTTCCGAAAGAAAGTTTCGTCTTTTAAAACAAATAAATATAAATTACATATTTTAGTTGAAGTAGAAAGAAGCATTATACAAGATGTTTAATAATAAAGGAAATTATAGGGGAAGACAAAAAGAGATTAATAACTTTTTTATTTTTCGCTCAAATATTCACAGTAATTAACGCATAAAAATAATATTATCACTCGAACATTAGCAGTAAAATACGCTAATGTGAAAATCACAATTTTTACAAGTTGGAAATATTTGTGAATTAATTTATCAACAATTTCAGTACAAAACAAGACTTATTTGCTTAAGTAAACTCTAAATTCATTTATTTTAAAAATTTGTTCAAAAAATTTTTATAGTTTTGTGTATAAAACTTTTTTCAGCTGTTAAAAATGAAGAAAATTCGCTAAATGCATTATTTGGAAGGTATTTTCTAGACTAATGTGGAATCTTTCATAAACATACAAACTTCGATGAAAATTTTTGGCCATAATAAAATGATAAATTAAAATTTTAAGCTATAAGAGAATAACATCACTCTGAGATAATTGAATGTATGATAAAATAAAATATTTTATCACTGAAAGTAAAGTGATTCAATCTTCAAAGCAAAATTTATTCATCAGATTTCCTGATAATTTTATACAAAACTGTCATAATTATCAGTACTAATTCGATTAAAATATAAAACTAAAATAAGTAAGCATTCTTAAAAACTCTCAATTTGTTTATATAAAAATTATGTAAATTTTAATAAAATATGGTCACAACTTTTAAAATGAAACAAAATTTTCTAATAGATAACTATTACGTAAATTTGATACTTACCGCTAAATTAGGTTCCGTAAAATTTAAGTAAATATATCTGAAGTAATACATTTAGCAGTAAATAACTTCTTTATAATATTTTCAAATTATTGTAAGAGTAAATATTAAAGTAAATCTTTCGTAGTAATAAATGACCAATACAACTATATACTACAAAAAATGATAACACTGAATGACACAGTTTGGTGGCGTCAAGTTGGTTTGGTGGATAACCGCAGATCATTTAGCATATCTAATAAAAAATAAATGCTCGCCAAATTTTTTTTCGGTTTTTTTTTTTGCATTCTGCCAAGGAAGGAAAGGAAAATAATTTTTTTTGCGCTTTTTTTTTTGCTCAATTTTTGCATCCCTACGAACCACTCTGAAAACAATCATCCCTTTTTTGCTTTATTATTATTTGAAATAAAAAAATTTATTTAATTAACAAAGAAGTATTCATTCCAAACTTGTGGTATCCATATGCTTCACTGCTTATAAGTTAAACAAGAAAAAACTTCAGTCTAGTTTCGGGTTGATTTCAATTTTTGAGTTATTTTTTTATTTTTTATTTTAGCTAAATTAATTATTAAAATGCTAAAAGTTAGCAATTTGAAATTTAACTTTTATTTTTTGTACAGTTTTTTATTTATTAAATATTTATACAAAAAATAAACAATGTTAACAATTGAATAATAAAATGTGTAACAAAAAAGAGGGAATTTTTTTGCAGTGTGTTTTTGTGCTTTAAAAAGTGCTAGCAAACACATATTACCACCCTATTAATTAGGTTTTCTATGTGAAGAACGATTCCCACATATTTCAAAGGATTTTTAAG